AAATGTACAATTACCATGGCGGTAAAGGGAAGATATATAAAAACCAAAAATCCTGCCATTCAAAAACTGTGCACCTCCGGAATGATGGCCAAAGAAGGCCGCCATTTTGGAGGCCCTTCTAACCCAGACCTCCCTGACAATTGAACACCAATTTCTTTAGGCGACTGGAAGTTGTTTGCGCTCTTCAACAACAACTCCAACTGTTCCCTAGTCACCACAATCTTAATCTTCTGTCTCTTGCAGCTTTCTTGGTGAACTATTTTTAAAGGAACCAAGGGCTTACCAAGACTTGCAAGGTTTGGCACAAGATGGTAAACTTCCCCTGGTTCTAGCTTGGTGTTGGGTGGCAATGGCGTAAACGGCTGGACGTGGTGTACCAGCTTATAGCCAATGTAAGGGCCAGATGTGATTTCTTCAATCGGTGTTGAGGCTTTGAATTCTCGTACTCCACCCTTAAAGATTACTACTTTAATCTTCTCTTGAGGGGGATGGCACAGAACATGTAAGCAGTTTCCCATGGTGCGCAGAGCAATACAAATGAACAAAGACTCCATCGTTTTTATAGTGTTTGGCTTTGATAATTTCATATGGGACTGTGGGAGGCAGTTTGACGTGCAAGCCATGAAGCATTTTTCTTTAATTAATTTATAAGCTTTTACTCTCCCAATATGTGTGCTATTGGTATTTTCTTTTGCAAAGTCAACTAGTGGTGTGGGTCTAGAACTTAACAAGCACTCCCAGCATTATGATAACATCTAAATAAATACCTCCAAGTCAATGGTCTGTGGATTGTTCATTGTATTTGTAACACAGCCTCGATGGAATAATTCTATTAGAATGTCAAAAGTCAACTCCAATATAGAATTGCCAGATGAAGTCAAACACGTTTTACTTTAATTTTTTTTTATGTGTATTAACATATTTCCGTTTAAGTTGCTTAGTCCTCAGATATTGGGGCTAAGTGTTATGCAATTGGGAACTTTGACTGTTCGTATATATTTTTCATGGCCGATTCGACCTCTTGCATTACAACTATCGTTTAATATTGAACTTAACCGTCAACTGCCAAATAAATGTCAATGAGGCCTAAAATCACACGGGAAAACTGAGTCAACTGCCAAGAGCATTATAATAGCTTTGGCCCTCAGTTTCAACCAGAAGAGATGTAGCGGACAAACTTTCTACATCTCCCAGGCAAATAGCATGCCCTGTATCTCAAGAATGACAATAGAAGAACTAAGCCCCAGAAAGCAAGTATCTAAGCTAAGGTAACAGTGCCAATTGGCCTGTGCAATAGGTTGGATGCTAACAAGACAACAGAACAATGCACTTGTTTTGTACCTCCTGTTATTCCCATGTTACATACAATAACTTCCAAAAGGCATTTATCAAAGAAAATTTGGAAACCTTTCTTAACATACAAACGGGTCTTTTTCCACTACTTCCAAATCTTAGACTTCATCCAACCAGATTTAACAGGATCTTACTGATAATGTTACTCAACAAAATCAAAGCGCATAAATAGGTACATTACCGCTAAGTAGATGCAAGGATTTTGAGAACTTCATTAATTCAATAAGACTAATGGATGGTTGAGATCTAATGGTACAAAAATGTTCTCTACACCAAGAGAGGAAATTCCAAAAACAATATATATAGAAAATTGGGAAGCAGCACATACCAGTTCTTGACATTACATATCAGTGTGACAAGCTTTCTCGGTAAACTAAAGAGCCCAACACCTAAGCAGCAACTAATTCCGATGAACTTCTAGACTCCAACCATGACTTGACTGCAACCTTTGTCGTCAAAAACCAGCCAGCCTTGTCTGGGGCCTCATGGAATGGCGCATTTAATTCCTTCAAATGTGATTCAAATACACTCGCAAGACCTTTGTCTGAATACTTATGTTTCCCATGTCCGGTATTAATTCCTAGCAACGGCGGAAGCTCCTCACCAGATTCTAATACCCGAGACAAGTCATTGATCCAAACATGTAATGCAGTCAGAGCTGCCCCAAGAGAGAGACCCTTGAGATACAGAGACCACTGGGTTTGAGACCTTGACTGTATACCTATGTATATCTGAAGTGTAAGCCCCAAGTCTAGGAGCTCACAGGCTCTCTCCAAGAGATCGAGGTTCACACAAAGATCAATCAAGCAATTGCAGTAAGCCTTCTTTACATCGGAACCAATTGAATTAAAAAGTTCTGATGCTTCCTTCCTAAAGTTATCACTGTTGTCTTGCTTCTCTACCAAAAGTCGTACCACATACCCAAGCTTTTCATCAGCCCTCTCAATGCAATTGGCAAGCTTACAAAGTTCTTCCTTCGGTGTTTGAGTCATCACATTCAGGAGACAACCACAGAAGCGCTCATCTGGCGTTATGCCCAATTCTAGGAGTTGATTGAATATCCTGACAACATCATCTGTACGCTTTGCCTTCCCATAGCATTGGATGAGTGATGTCAAAATAAAGATATTAGGCTGAAAACCAGCTTCCAACATCTCATTTAACATTGTCTCTGCCTCTGTGACTTTCCCGCTACATGAATATATGGTAATCATGGATGAAAATGTCCAACTGTCAGGCTTCCAAGTTTCGGAACTCTTCATGTCTTTAAAAATCTCAACAGCTTCGTCAGCGTAACCAACATCAGCACACATAGCTAAAAGGGTATTATAAAGAATTACATTCAGCTCCATTCCCTTCTCCTTCATCTCTCTATAAACGTTAAGAGCATCATCACCGTAGCGGGCTCTACCATAGGCCCTTAAAAGAGCTGCATAGGTTACCGAATTTGGTGAAAACTCCTTGTTGATCATCTCTCGGTAAATTTTCTTGGCCTGCCAAGGCCTCTTAGCTCTTCCCATAGCATCCAACAAAGTGTTATAAATAACCAAGTTTGGCTTAGCCCCTATAGCTTTCATTTCCTCATACACATTCAAGCACCCATCAAAATTCCCGGACTGCCCGTGAATTTTGATCAATGTTGAAAACGTCACTGGATCAATGCGCCATTTCGATGTCCTGGCTCGGTCATACAAACTGAAAGCCATGTCAACCTTACCAGAACGCCCATAGGCGTCAATCATAGCCGAATAGGTAACATCATCCGGATTACACCCAAAACTGGGCATCTTCTCAAACCACTCCACAGCCTTATCAGGCAAAGAGGACATCCTAGCACAACTAATCATAGTAGAAAAGGTAACATTATCAGGTTGAACACCTCTCTTGATTAATTCATCAAACAGCTTCTCTGCCCTATCCAAATCCTTACCCTTCCTACACACTTTCAAAGTGACATTGTAGAGAATCACCTCCCTCTTTGGTTTCAAATTCTGCTGAAAGTAGTTGAGCGCAAGCAACGCATTTTCTGGATTGGCCATATTATTAAGCACAACCACTGCGTCTTGTTCCAAGATTCTATCACCTAAACCCTTTAAAGCTTCAAAAACATCATTTTCACTTGGACTGCAAGAGTTCAAATACTCGGCTACTTTGACTAAAGAAGCATACCTGGAATCGTAGGATTTCTGCCTGAGCTGCGAAGCTCTGGGGCTGCTGGGGTTGACCCAGATATAGCTTTTGGACAAAGACCCAGAATTTCTATTTGGGCGTTGAGGGCTTTCAACTTCTGGAACATTGGCGGGGGTCTGGGTTTCTTGTGCAACTGGTTCTTGTAAAGAAACATGGTTTATTTGGAGAGAGGTTCTTGAGTGGAGTGAAGGAAAACCGAGTTTCAGAGTGCAAAGACGAGAGCTTCCCAGTCGGAAACTTGTTGGGGAAGGGAGAGAATGGGAGGGAGTTTGGCGGTTATGGAAGAGAGAAGAGGGTGAAGAGCATAAATGATAAGCCATTTATCCCTCTGTGTTTTGCTCACACTGTCTGTGAGTAGTGCATTCCAGGAGATAGGATAGGAGGAATTCCTATTTACTATGAGTATGCGGCGCTTCCAATATTTCACTGGGAACAAACTTATCCGTATCCCGTGAACATGTTTAGTTTGGGACCTAAAGCTAAAGAGACTGCTTCACCAAGCTGCTCTATGTTTTTTTCTTTTCTGCTTCAACTTGTTTAGTTTGGTATAAAGTTGGTCCAATAAAATCATATTGTTTTTGGTTGGCATTATAATTTAGAAGAAGATAAGATGGAACTTGGAAGGAGCAAGCCACATGCCCACATCACATGGGCTTCACTTGGAGCAGCAAGTTAGGCACCCTGCCTGGACTAGACTAGTAGCATTATGGGCTTTTTGGCTTTCGCTGAATTTTGTCTCTTTTTTTTTAAGTATAGTAAAAAGAGCAACTTAATAACAGAAAGACAACATTATTAAACTAACTGATAAACATAAAAAGGAAAATTAGGAAAATAGAATGAAAACAAAACAAATATAATATATTAAGCTCTTTCCACGAAGTCATTACACGCATATATAAATTGATCTTTTATAATAAAAAGGACAATTATGAACGATATCTCTTAATTGTATATAAACAATTGAAATGGGTCAAACAAACCCCACAGAATTGGACTGGGGAAAATATAATGGCCTTGGACCTCTCACTCTCCTCTTGTGGATTGTGGAGAGTGGAGATTGGGATGAGGGTGTTTATGGAGTATATTCCAAGTAAGTAGCATCCCTTATTTTAAAATTTTAAATGATATGAAATGAACAACTAACACGCATTAGGAAGTAATTAAAGAAAAAGCATGTGCAGAGCAGTGCAGCAGTTGTGCAATGGAAACTTGTTTATTATTGCATTGAAAATTGTAGCAACAGCAACTTCATTCATCTTCATGTAATGTAGGTACAATGAATAATAAGCTGATTGTGACTTAGTCTTCCACCACCATCAACAGCCAACTTTATTGATTACTTTTTTCCCCTATAAACTAAACCAACACCAACACTGGACTGCTGCTAATTAAACATAAAATGACCCAAGATTGAAGATGATTTACATATATTTAATTTATGTCCCTGAAACTCCAAACCCAAATGAACTTGACCTCAACAATATTCCGCAGTGCACCATATTCCCAGTCACATGACTGTGCAGCCTTGGGGATTTTCTTCACTGAAACAGTCAGAGCGGGCAACACAATAGTTAGTATTGTAGCTCCTGCCACCACCATAACTGTCGTACACAGGCCTTCCATAGTAACCATCATACTGGATGTATGGGCCTACTCCGCCATAGCCAGTCTGGCATGGCCCACCAGGATGCCCATGGTAACAATCCATACAGCACGCGTTTACTGGGTAAGGCGGTGGGTAACATACAGGAACAGGCGGTGGTTTGGGTTGCTCTGGCGGCGGTGGTGGTTTGGGTTTCTCTGGCGGCGGCGGCGGTGGTTTGGGTTGCTCTGGCGGCGGTGGTGGTTTGGGTTTCTCTGGCGGCGGCGGCGGTGGTTTGGGTTGCTCTGGCGGCGGTGGTGGTTTGGGTTTCTCTGGCGGCGGCGGCGGTGGTTTGGGTTGCTCTGGCGGCGGTGGTGGTTTGGGTTTCTCTGGCGGCGGCGGCGGTGGTTTGGGTTGCTCTGGCGGCGGTGGTGGTTTGGGTTTCTCTGGCGGCGGCGGCGGTGGTTTGGGTTGCTCTGGCGGCGGTGGTGGTTTGGGTTTCTCTGGCGGCGGCGGCGGTGGTTTGGGTTGCTCTGGCGGCGGTGGTGGTTTGGGTTTCTCTGGCGGCGGCGGCGGTGGTTTGGGTTGCTCTGGCGGCGGTGGTGGTTTGGGTTTCTCTGGCGGCGGCGGCGGTGGTTTGGGTTGCTCTGGCGGCGGTGGTGGTTTGGGTTTCTCTGGCGGCGGCGGCGGTGGTTTGGGTTGCTCTGGCGGCGGTGGTGGTTTGGGTTTCTCTGGCGGCGGCGGCGGCGGTGGTTTAGGTTGCTCTGGCGGCGGTGGTTTGGGTTTCTCTGGCGGCGGCGGTTTGGGAGGCTCTTTGATCTCAATGCTCTTGATGGCTCCCCCACCTTTGCAGCATATCCTGTCCCTTATCTTCTCTGGACTGCAGCATACCACTTTGATGACCACCTGGTTTTGCTTCTCGTCGTATATCTGGTCTCGTATTTCTCTTGTTCACAAAATCCAATTCCACAACACACACATTTACTCAGTTTAATTACATTCTTTTTGGTTTTAACATGTCTATGTGACTATGTCAATGGAGGGAATTATACAAAGGAAAAGATAGAGAGACTCACGAGGGAATTTGCAGAGAACTTTTTTGACCTTCTTATAGCATTTGTGACACTGAAGGTCCACCTTCAGCACCATTATCGTCACCTGAAGTGAACCCATTTACAATTAGGGGACAATAAGCAGACTACAATTAAGAATTTCAGAAAATCAAACAAATAATAATATTATTTACAAGAATCAAGATGGCTGCTGCTCCTGGACCTGCTGTGGTGCCCAAGAAGAAGAGAAAGTAAGAAACTTTATGGATGGATTGTGGTTTGTAGACAAAAACAAGTGGAATGAGGTTCTGACTTCTGACAGGGAAGAATCATGATGAGTAACTGACAATATCAAGAACAAAACTCGGTGGAGTCTTGGAGATTGAAAAAAATAGCAGCCACAAAAGTTAAATAAGAGCTAGCTACGCCCGAGCCAGGCAAAATCATCAACTGGGTTTATCTACTTGTTATCAACTGAACTGAACCACTAAAAAAAGAAGAGGAAAACATAAACTTTAACAATTACCAACCTTTTCTTTTTCTGCCATTGCAGTGTGAGTGCGTGTCTCAGATCTGAACCTCAACTGAAATGATTGAATGGGACTGGAACTCAGGGGACCAACTTGTATATATATGTGCACCCACCTCACCTCACCCTCCGAACTTTCCAACTTCCAAATATTATTTTAAAGTAAATATTCCACCAAAGTAAAGTTATGGGAGATTCCCTATTATACCAAATATAGGAGCCTGAATTATAAAAAAACTATATATGAAATGGACTTTAGAAACTCACTCAAAGCTCATTTACAACATAATAAAAAAACTTTTAACTTCTTTTAAATTACAAAACTGTCATTGATTTCTTAAAACAGACCTAACTCCAAAACATCAACAAGAAAAAAAAACTCAAAACACTCAATAGGGCATCAAAGTAATTTAATAATTATAATTAAATTAAATAGGGATAGCTGTCATTTTTTTGGTGTTTTTTTGGTTTGTTTATAGAAATTAAATAGTGTAGGGTTTATTTGTAGTGTTAGTGCTAAGAACAGGTATATAACTAAGGGCCCGTCTGGTAATGTTTTGGGAGAATGTTTTCAGAGAATGAAAACAAGAAAACAAATTTGCATTTTCAGGAAATGAAAATGCGTCTGGTAGATTAATTAGAAAACATCTTTAGAAAATAAAAACAGTGAAAACGTGTCTGGTAGTACAATTGTTTTTTAGGTGTATTTTTGATAATTTCAGTTCTAATTTTTTTTTAATTCTGATATTTTTAGAGGCTAAAATTATTATAAACAATGAAAAAAAATTAAAGCCCAAAAACTATCTTATCTCCTTTCTTTTTTCTTTCTTTTTTTCTTCTTTTTCTCATTTTCTCTCTTTCCTCCTCTTTTCTTCTTCTTTTCCTTCACGTGGCTGTTTCTTTTTTCTCTTTTTCTTCCTCAATTATTCTTCCTTTCCTTCCCAAGGCAGTTTTTTTTTTCTCCTTTTCTTCTTCTTTTCTTCTTCCTTTCCTTCCCCACCCACTCCCCTTTCCTTCCATGGCATCAATCCCATACACCCACCCATCTCTCTCTCTCTCTCTCTCTCTCTCTCTCTCTCTCTCTCTCTCTCTCTCTCTCTCTCTCTCTCTCTCTCTCTCTCTCTCTCTCTCTCTCTCTCTCTCTCTCTCTCTCTCTCTCTCTCTCTCTCTCTCTCTCTCTCTCTCTCTCTCTCTCTCTCTCTCTCTCTCTCTCTCTCTCTCTCTCTCTCTCTCTCTCTCTCTCTCTCTCTCTCTCTCTCTCTCTCTCTCTCTCTCTCTCTCTCTCTCTCTCTCTCTCTCTCTCTCTCTCTCTCTCTCTCTCTCTCTCTCTCTCTCTCTCTCTCTCTCTCTCTCTCTCTCTCTCTCTCTCTCTCTCTCTCTCTCTCTCTCTCTCTCTCTCTCTCTCTCTCTCTCTCTCTCTCTCTCTCTCTCTCTCTCTCTCTCTCTCTCTCTCTCTCTCTCTCTCTCTCTCTCTCTCTCTCTCTCTCTCTCTCTCTCTCTCTCTCTCTCTCTCTCTCTCTCTCTCTCTCTCTCTCTCTCTCTCTCTCTCTCTCTCTCTCTCTCTCTCTCTCTCTCTCTCTCTCTCTCTCTCTCGTTTAACTAATTAATGGTTGTGCTGGTTTGATTGGGTGATGATGGTGGTTGTGCTGGGTAAGTGGTAGTTCTTCTTCCTCTATGTTTTTCTTTTCTTTTCTTCTTCCTCTGTATTTTTTATCTTCTTAGTTTGCAGGTTTGTGTTATTTTGGGTTGGAAAAGATGAGAGGTCAAGAAAGGGGGAGAGAAGAGAAGGGTGAGTGAGGAGAGAAGAATTTTGGTTTTTGGTTTGAGAGGGAGAGAAGATTGAGCGAGAGATGTGTCTTGAGCGTTTGTTTTCTGGGAGAACAAAAACATCTTTTTTCTATTTTGTAGAAGTAAACGTGAAGTTGGTCTCATTTTATGAAAACATTTTCAATGTTTTCTGTTTTTGCCCACCGAACACATTTTTGCTTTGTTTTTGTGTTTTGAAAATGAAAATGGGCCTTTAAAACGTAAACGAACCGGGCCTAAATATCTCTAAAGGTATTTGCATCCTAATCTAATCATAATTAAGTGCTGACAGATAGTTTGGTAGTCTTCAAGGGAGGCAGAGTGCCTGCCTGCCAACATTATTTCAATGAGACCCTCAAAGCAAAATAAAATTATATTCTATTGTTATGCAATAGAATGTATTTTTCAGAGTGTGAAGACCAGAGCTTCCCAGTCGGAAACTTCTTAGGGAAGGGAGAGAATGGGAGGGAGTTTGGCGGTTATGGAAGAGAGAAGAGGGTGAAGAGCATAAATGATAAGCCATTTATCCCTCTGTGTTTTGCTCACACTGTCTGTGAGTAGTGCATTCCAGGAGATAGGATAGGAGGAATTCCTATTTACTATGAGTATGCGGCGCTTCCAATATTTCACTGGGAATAAACTTATCCGTATCCCGTGAACATGTTTAGTTTGGGACCTGAAGGGACTGCTTCACCAAGCTTCTCTATGTTTTTTAATTTTCTGCTTCAACTTGTTTAGTTTGGTATAAAGTTGGTACAATAAAAATTAGGACAAAAGTCACTTTTAGTCTCTATAGTTTGGCACTTTAACCACTTTTGACCATGTAGTTTCAATTCCGTCAATGTTGCCATTGTAATTTCGTATTTGTAGCAATTCAAGGACATGTTATTATTCTTGTCAATTTCTCTAACGATGCAAGGGGCAATTTCGTCAACCCAAAACCCTTGAGCATAAAAGCTTGTCTGAAATTCTCCCCATTTCATATTACGGCTCAAAATTCAACCACTAATCCTAATTTTTGAAGAACCCTAAACCCAAATGACCAATTTCAAGCCCTAATATAAAATTACGGGAGTTTCAGACGAGTTTTTATGCTCAAGGATTTTGGGTTGACCAAATTGCCCCTTGCACTGTCAAAAAAATTGACAAGAATACTAATTTATCCTTGAATTGCTACAAATGCGAAACTACAAAGTCAAAATTGACGGAATTGAAACTATATGGTCAAAAGTAGTTGAAGTGACAAATTATAAAGACCAAAAATGACTTTTAGCCTAAAAATTATATTGGTTTTGGTTGGCATCATAATAATAAGATAAGATGGACGGAGCAAGCCACATGCCCACATGGGCTTCACTTGGAGCAACAAGTTGGGCACCCTGCCTGGATGGAACTTGTTTAGACTAGTAGCATTATGGGCTTTTTGGCTTTCGCTGACTTTTGTCTCTCCTTTTTTAAGCATAGCAAGAAGAGCAACTGAACGGATAGCAAACATGGTTAAACTAACTGACAAACATAAAAAGGAGAATTAGGAAAATGGAATGAAAACAAAACATATATAAAGGTACTAATCAGTCCAGTTAAATAAGAAAATTGTAGGTATGGTGTGGTGTGGTATACCCTTTTTATATATTAAGCTCTTTCCACGAAGGCATTACACACATATCTAAATTGATCTCTCTTATAATCAAAATTCTCACTTTTAGGGATGATGATGAATGATATCTCGTAATTGTATATAAACAAGTGAAATGGGTCAAACTAACCCCACAGAACTGGACTGGGGGAAATATGATGGCCTTGGACCTCTCACTCCTCTTGTGGAGATTGAGATGAGGGTGTTTATGGAGTATAATCCAAGTAAGTCGCATCCCTTATTTTAAAATTTTAAATGATATGAAATGAACAACTAACACACATTAGGAATTAATTAAAGAAAAAGCATGTGCAGCAGTTGTGCAATGGAAACTTGTTTATTATTGCATTGAAAATTGTAGCAGCAGCAACTTCATTCATCTTCATGTAATGTAGGTACAATGAATAATAACCTGATTGTGACTTAGTCCTCCACCACCATCAACAACCAACTTTATTGACCACTTTTTTTCTCCTATAAACTAAACCAACACCAACACCAACACTAACACTGGACTGCTGCTAATTAAACATAAAATGACCCAAGATTGAAGATGATTTACATATATATAATTTATGTCCCTGAAACTCCCAACGCAAATGAACTTGACCTCAACAATATTCCGCAGTGCACCATATTTCCAGTCACATGACTGTGCAGCCTTGGGGATTTTCTTCACTGAAACAGTCAGAGCGGGCAACACAATAGTTAGTATTGTAGCTCCTGCCACCACCATAACTGTCGTACACAGGCCTTCCATAGTAACCATCATACTGGATGTATGGGCCTACTCCGCCATAGCCAGTCTGGCATGGCCCACCAGGATGCCCATGGTAACAATCCATACAGCACGCGTTCACGTTCACTGGAGGGAAGCCTACATGTACAGGCCCAGGCCCAGACTTTGCTGGGGGATTGTCAGGTGCAGGAGGTGGTTTGTCTTCCGCCGTTGGTTTGGTTTTGTCTTCCGCCGGTGGTTTGGCTTTCTCTGTCGACGCTGGTTTGGCTTTCTCTGTCGACGCTGGTTTGGGCTTCCCAGGCTCTTTGATCTCAATGCTCTTGATGGCTCCCCCACCTTTGCAGCATATCCTGTCCCTTATCTTCTCTGGACTGCAGCATACCACTTTGATGACCACCTGGTTTTGCTTCTCGTCGTATATCTGGTCTCGTATTTCTCTTGTTCACAAAATCCAATTCCACAACACACACATTTACTCAGTTTAATTACATTCTTTTTGGTTTTAACATGTCTGTGTGAGTGTCACTATGTCTATGGAGCGAATTATACAAAGGAAAAGATAGAGAGACTCACGAGGGAATTTGCAGAGAACTTTTTTGACCTTAAATTATCCGTATCCCGTGAACATGTTTAGTTTGGGACCTAAAGAGATTGCTTTCACCTTTATTAGAGAGGTGGTACGAATGTGGTAAGCCTAGCATTACCCTTCTTTTTAAAAAAATGCTAGACTTACCATATTTTTCATACCACATTCATACCATCTCTCTAATAGAGGTGGGGCCCATTGTATTGGTGGGCTCCAACTTTATTAGAGAGGTGGTATGAATGTGGTATGAAAAATGTGGTAAGCCTAGCATTACCCTTTTTTCTTTTCTGCTTCAACTTGTTTAGTTTGGTATAAAGTTGGTCCAATAAAAATCATATTGTTTTTGGTTGGCATTATAATTTAGAAGAAGAAGATAAGATGGAAGGACCAAGCCACATGCCCACATCACATGGGCTTCACTTGGAGCAGCAAGTTGGGCACCCTGCCTAGATGGAACTTGGTTTAGAGTTTAGACTAGTAGCATTATGGGCTTTTTGGCTTTCGCTGATTTTTGTTCATCTTTTCTTAAGCATAGCAAGAAGAGCAACTTAATAACAGACAACCAACATGGTTAAACAAACTAACTGACAAACATAAAAAGGAGAATTAGGAAAATGGAATGAAAACAAAACAAATATAAAGGGTATAGGGTAAAGGATCTAAAACCCCCCTGGACTATTTGGCTTGTCGAAATGTCCACCCTGAATTTTTTTTCCAGCCAATTTAGCCTTCGTATTAAATTTAATCGCCAATTTCACCCCCGCCGTTAGGTTTTCCCCAATTCCATCCAAATGCCCGTCTAAAAAGAATAAAATAATCTTTTTAAAACACAAGTTGAATAAAATATTAATAAAAATAATAAAAACCAACAAAAACTTTTCTTTCTCTCTCTCTAGAACCTCTGTTTCCCTTCTTCCTGATCAAACCCAATCCCCTCCTCTCTCTTCCATAACCACCATTTCCAGCCACACTCACCATCATCACAGCACAAACGATGTATATATGGAGCACCGCATCATCCCCAGACCCAGCGGCGACTCCACAACCTCACCACAATCTCTCTCGGGATCATGTTCTCATGCTCCTCCCCGATGCCCACTACCACCCCAGCCAGATCCCATCCGCCCTCTTTCTCTCTCTCTAACCGGATACAACATTAGGCACAAAGAGAAATTAGGGTTTCAGATTCTTAGTTTCATTGACGCGGAGGAGGGTCGTCGGCGGAGGGAGGACAACATGGTGGAGATCAGGAAGAACCGCGGAGAAGAAAGCCTCCAGAAGAAACGTCGCGAGGGCCTTCAACCTCCGCAATTGTCCTCTAATCTTCACTCCTCCGGCCTAGAGAAGAAGGTAACCTAATGTTTGATTGAGGTTCCGATTGACTGGCCTTAGCTCCTATATCTCCATTTCCCATTCTAGGTGATTGGGGGTTCGGCCTAAGAGAGAGGCAGAGAGATGGAGGGCGATAGGGTTCGGCCTCTCCTTTTCTTTTCTTTTTTTCTTCAGTTTTGTAGTTTTAACAATTTAATTATTTTAAACTTAAAAAAAATTAAATTTTAATTGAACAGTGAGTCACGTGCCTAACATGTGACATTTAGACAGAAAATTGGATGAAAACTAACGGTGGAGGTGAAATTGGCGATTAAATTTAATACGAAGGCTAAATTGGCTGAAAAAAAAATTTCGGATGGACATTTCGACAAGCCAAATAGTCCAGGGGAGTTTTAGACCCTTTACCCTTTTATATATTAAGCTCTTTCCACGAAGTCATTACACGCATATCTAAATTGATCTTTTATAATAAAAAGACGATGATGAATTATATCTCTTAATTGTATATAAACAATTGAAATGGGTCAAACTAACCCCACAGAATTGGACTGGGGAAAATATGATGGCCTTGGACCTCTCACTCCTCTTGTGGAGATTGGGATGAGGGTGTTTATGGAGTATAATCCAAGTAAGTAGCATCCCTTATTTTAAAATTTTAAATGATATGTGTTGGCGCTAAATCTGAACAGATAGAGATGAGTGCAACTTACAATTGAGATGGACGATCGA